CTTTTCTGCTCGAGAGCTTCTCCCATGCTCCATCATGTTCCCGCAATAGGTTGATCTCCTCCCATTACGCACTGTCCTTATCTGGCAGTGCCAGGCGGCACTGAGTGTACAAGCCGTCAGAATAATGCCTCTCCTTTTGTCGTTTTGTGCGAAAACCGTTCTTGTTAGATAGACAGCACTTGGTCACTATCGAAACGTCGATTCGGAAATTTCTCGTGAAATAGAAAAGGACGAGGAAGGCGGTGGGGGGGCAACGGGAGGAGGGAGGGGGGAGGGGGGGAGGGAGGGGAGAGCAGAAAGGACGGTGGAGGATTACAGTACAGAGCACCTGTACCCTTTCTTCTTCTTGCGTAAGTGCGTGCTTGCCAAATGAATATGGAGGGAGGTTGGGCGGGAGGGGGGGTGAAGAGGGGGGAGTGGAGGGGAGAGGGGGGGGGGGGGGGGGGGGGGGGGAGATATCCGACTTGAACTGTTTCCCGTATTTGCTTGTATAATTTGGTTACATCGAACGTGGACATCATTTTACTGTTTGCGTACGGAAGGATAAGGGAGGGGCCTTCAACTAGGGGTTCGATAGTGCTACTTGCGGGTAGATTGGGGTTGGATAATCCACTAACCGACTGAACTGATCAAACGTATTCTTTGGGAGGAAAGTGTTGGTTGAGTCAGTGTGTTTCGTAGATGTGTGCGTTTGTTTATCTCCTTTGTGTGCTTGGTAGACGAGGAGGGGGACATCCAGAGCGGATTTCGTTGATGTGACAGCAGCAGCAGCAGCGGCAGCAGCGGCGGCAGGAGGAAGAGGAGGAAGAGGAGTAGGAGGAAGAGGAGGAAAAGGAAGAGAAGGAAAGTATGTGAAGAGGTGAGAGCAGGGGGTGGAGCAGAAGTAGGTGTGTTTATTCTGTTTGAGTCTTTGAGAAGAGGGGATTCGTCGATTCCTTTCTGGCTGTCAAGATGCTTATCGACCAGCAGCCAGCAGCAGCAGTGCCGCCCCTCATGGACTTGCTGGTATATGCCTCCTTAGGGTTTGTCAGGCATTCGTTATCTCCTCCTCTCTCTCATATTTTTGTTTTTTTGTTTTTAACCTTCTACATGTATCTGCGTTGGTTGCTTGCGTTCGTCGCTGGCTCGCCAGTGTCATTATAGCCGTTGTAAATTTTTGACTGTTCACGCCGCAAGCTTGCCTTCTCTCTCTCACAAAAGGGTCACGAAGGGGGTCGGTTTCTCTTGGTGCGCGGTTGGCTAGGCCTATTTTTGTTTTTTGGGTTATCCCTCTTGATTCTGCGTGAATAGAAACACATGCACACATGCACGATGAATGCAGACTGGCGGCACTGTATAGGTCTAAGAAACCCTGTGTGTGCTGTTGTCGTGGCTGATGGGCTGCTTCGGGCTGGCGAGAGGAAACTGAAAAACTCAAAAGCGTATTTATAGTTTTCATTATAACACGCGTTTCAGGCCAGAGTAAACTGATTAGTTCTGCGGACGTTGAACACAGGAAGCGAAGAAGAGTGATTAACAAATCCAGAACAATTGCAGGAAACGTTCACAAGTTCAGAAGCTCAGACCCTGATGGCTGCTTGACGACCCAGCGCTCAGTGCACTTGGGGAATGAGGAAAGCACGCGCAGACACACACGCCCCTGAATATACACTCTATGACGATATGTCACAGCCCCTCGTTTGTTGTCCTCTTCTCTTCTCCCTCCCCCTCTGCCTACGGTTTACCGGGCAGTTCTTTTTGACGATATAAACTCCGACGAAACAGTTTGTCACAGCCCCTCGTTTGTTGTCCTTTTCTCCCTCTCTGCCTACGGTTTACCGGGCAGTTCTATTTGACGATATATATATATATATATATCGTCACAAACAGAACTGCCCGGTAAAACCGTAGGCAGAGAGAGAGAAGAGGACAACAAATATATATATCGTCAAATAGAACTGCCCGGTTATATATATATCGTCACAAATAGAATATACGATATATATATATATCGTCAAATATATATATATATCACGTATACTCAGACACACAGAGAGAGAGAGAGAGAGAGAGAGAGAGAGGTACACGGACGTAGATACTGAAATTTGGGTCATGGGGAAAGCACGACACACACCACTAAATATATACTCTCACTCTCTCTGTCTCTCTCTCTCATACACACACAACGTACTGATGACTCGGTGAAAGTTGACGAAACAGTTTGGCACTGTTGTGTGTGTTTTTCTGGAGCAGTACACACACACACACACACACACACACACACACACACACACGCACACAGAGAGAGAGAGAGAGAGAGAGAGAGAGAGAGAGAGAGAGAGAGAGAGA